GTACATTTTTGACTGTGTATTTGTACTTTTACTTAAGTACATTTTTTGAGTACTTTCTCCACCACTGGTGGCCAGTGACCAGCTCTGGACAACATAATTGAAATGAAATGATCATTATGGACTATTCTCTTTGTGTCTACTTTCGCCTGAGACAGCCGTCTGCTGCACTGCGCGCGCTCCACCGCAGAGCCAGACCCAGCTCGGGATGTGCGCGAGTTTACAGTGAAAGCGCGCGCGCCGTGGGCGGCTCAGTGGGTCCGTTTAATGTTTCTGTCTGTTTGGTATCCAGGCAACGGCTCCTCGGAATTTTCAGGGAGCGGCCCAGCCCAAAGCAATGAAGACGTCCGATTGGAAACGACTGAATACGGAGGGGAGGGAAAAAAACAACAACTTTATTTTTGATTTTCGTGCTCATAAATCACATCATGATGCAAACTGCAACCATTCCGCTAAATGCATCTTCCCCCCGCCCCACGGCAAAGCAGGAACGTCAACGCACCTGTATAAAGGAGAAACTTTTTTAACAACCTTGTCCTACAGGTCAAAAATGACCCGCTCTAACAAAAAGCCCCAAAATAAAGCACCTTACTTGAATTTGAAATCCAAAATCTATTTTGCATGATAAATAACAAGGTTATTTATCAATTCAACTCAATTTAATTCATTTTTATCATGTTTTTTTTTGTTACAACACAAAAAGACGATCACATTCTTTTTTTATGACAAACCAACTGTCATGAGTTTTCTTTTATACAGTAAAGGTTTATTATTGTAATTATATAAATGTGAAGTAATTACTTCTGAACTACACTGAAAGGGTACAAGTTCAATTCATACATCAATCCAGTTTATTTGATGCGGGTGTGTAGGTGTAGAGACAGTTTCTCTGTGACCTTTGAACTTTTTTCTGCTGTTTAAATAGTTTTATAATTCACGGGTCAGAAATGACCCATAAAACGATCCTTGTACCCTAGTGGTGTGCAGCCCAAAACAAAATCAAAGTGTCTCTTTTTCTAATGATGGGGTCAATTTAGGAAAAGTCATAAAATTTCACGTTGGAAAAATATCGTTTAAGGTATTTTTTTCCCCTACAGCTGAACACGCTAGTGGGTCACTTTTGACCCGCAACACAACACAAGGGATGTAAAAGTGAAACTGTGGAGCAAAGTCATTCTTGTTTTGGTCAACCACCACGTATGGAAATGAAGCGACAATGATGACGTCTAGTCATTTCTAATACTTTGCGCTTCCTTTAGGAAACGAGGCGCTGACAGGTGAGGTTTTGTCGTGAAGGAAGGCATGCATTATCTATTCTTCACTGCAGGATGGTTCTGCTTTAACGAGCGACAGACAATAAGATCATCTCACATGGGTCCAGGCAGAAGTCTGGGCTAAATGAGAAGAATGCAGTCGTGCTTTGTCTTTTGGATGTCACGTGAAAAGAGGCCACAGTCCAGACCTGCCGTTTCACTTTTAATGTTGACAAAAAACAAAGAAAGAAAGAAGAGACCTGCAGCAAGTTTAGTGTTCGTTTATTGCAGTTTATGAAAAGAAAAAAAAAAAAATCTGAATTAGTCAAATGTCTTTCATAACAGAAACGGAGCTTCTGAAATAAAATACAATAAAATAAAAATAAAAACACAAAGGCCGTTGCCCAGTGAGTGTCTACGGTGCACAACAAACAGTGACGATCATACATTAATGCTAAAATGCACATTCTTACAGAATGACTTGTCTGTACGTCTACAAGCTAAGCTAACATGTTGGCTAAAGGCAAAAAAAAACAAAAAAACAACCAAAACTTAAAATAGCGCATCATATCCTGGAAAACAACAGCAGGGTAACTTTTTTTCCCCAAAAGAATAAAAAAATCTTGATCATAAAAGATTTTGTACAGCAGGCATTGCTTTGTTTAATCATCTTCATGATGTGTTCTTCCGTACGGAAGCTAGTAGTACGATGGCTGAAATTTAAAGGACTTCAGTTAAAGCAATATATACCCGCAGCCCGACCTTCTCCAAACTTCACCCACATAATAACTTTTAGAAAAATACCCTCCCCCCCAAACGTTTACATGTAGTAGATGGGGGGGAGGGGTAAAAAATGTTCACCATGTTGAGCTTAAAAGTTTGCAGCGCCTTGTGAAAGAATCAAACTGCTAGCTTATGCTATATAACCCCAAGGTACAGTAAAAAGAAAATGTTTCATGGTTTTGAAACTTTTATCTTACAAATAACCAGAAGAATTTGGTGCATTTGTAAGTGAGGCCCTTTAACTTTAATACAACTAAAAAAAAAAAATCCAAGTCAACTAACCACCTTTACAGGTTACTTATGAAACATAACTAAAAAGAACAACATTGTTTTGAGGGAGGTGAAACACCAATATATGCCACATATTTTTCAATTTGTAAGACATGTTCAAAACCACAGCTCTTCTAATATTCACAACAATAAACTGAACTTCATTTTTTGTTTTTTGCATTATTATCTGAAATTCAAACCAAACTGATGTTTTAGAGCATATGTAAGGGTCAGACTCCCTTATGCTTTGTCCCCCACCTTTTCACAACGTGCTCAGATTACTCCCTCTCGTAGCAGGAACGTTTGTCACGCAGCCAAACTACGAATATGGCGTTTGTAAAATAGAGAATTATTGGCACGGCGCTCCGTTCCTCGAGACCATCTGTGCATGCAAAACGGCCTCCGAGGTTGAATTTCTCCGTCTGTCGTCAGGCGGCAGTAAAGCGGCACCTGAGAATCCCTTGCGGCCGGATTTTTATTTCCTCACATATATCCTTAAATAACCCGAAGGACAGATTCGATTAAGTTTTGCGGGGTGAGAAATGTGAGACGGGGGGGTGGGGTTCTGAGTAGTCTCCTGCTGTAAAAACGCATTTACAGTGTAAATGTGGCAACAGCTTTAGCTCTTGTGAAGGACATTTTTTTTAAAAAGCACACTGCAACCAACATAAACTTTTAGTTTCTAGTGCAAATATCTTAGTACGCTTTAAATAAGACACAACTAACCTATTAGTAACTTTTCAGCAAGATACAGGAGCTTGTTTTAAGGAAATAATTCCCTTATATTGATAAAAAAATAAATAAATCCAATAGCAGATCTTTTCACTATAACAAGATGTTTTTCCATGTTATAAATGAAAAAATTTGCAAGTGGAACTAGTACTTTTTAAAAATCAATACAATATTATGAAATTATTTACTTAAAACAAGCTTATATATCCTGCTGAAAAGCTACTTGTAAATTAGCGTTGTCTTATTTCAAATGTACTACGACACTTCCACTAGAAACTAGACAAAATATCCTTCATCAGATTTTTTTTTTATGTGAATTTTATGGGATACTTTGACGTGTCTGTGCTCCTTTCTGCATTCGAGTTCGGCTAATTTTCCTCCGTGCTGCTTTATCTGATCCTGGGAGAAGAGCCGGGAAAGGGAGTCGCAGCCGACCGACAGCCGCCTCAGGTATGAACAAACGAGTAGGAAGGAGGAGGAGGGGAAAAAAACAACAACAACAAAAAAAAAAAAATCAGCACATAATACTGTGGGTGTTGGTCAATGTAATGTAGAGAAGAGGAGGGTGAGGCCGAGGTGGGTGTGTGGGGGT